CGAGGACAACGCTGCTCAAGAGGAGGTCGACAATGAAGTTTTCAGAAACCAGTACATTCCTCAAACATTAGAGCAGGTCTACGACATTGAGAAGGATGCTCAAAGAGTTGGGGAGGGTCAGGGTAATGATCTTGTCTACAGTAATTTGCTGCCCGACCAGGTCATTGCACCCAAGAAGGCCGATGGCGAGAAGGGTGATGAGGAGGAAGGTTCCACATCTGATTCAGACGATGGTGCATCTCTCTCTGATGACGACTCGCACAACGAGGCCGACTTTGAGAAGGGCACTCCCCGAGGCCGTCGCTTCGAAGATAAGGACGAGAAGAAGGTTTGTATTCCATATCTCATTCCAATGTGACAGACCTTACTGACCACCCTCAGGCCCACAAGCAAGCCGTCAAGGAAGCCAAGCGTGAGAAGCGCAAGGAAAAGATGCCCAAACATCTCAAAAAGAAGATCGTCGCCACCTCATCCCGTCGCAAGAAATAAGCATCTCAATACAACCTCTACACCTCTTGCCGCACCTGCGCAAGGGTAGGCCATAGCTCCCAAGCTCCCGAAACAATTGACGAGCCTCATCCGGGGAAGCTATCAACCTTGCGCGACCCTCTTCCCTTCCCGTGCTTCTCTCTTGGCAGAGACACTAAAGGAAGGCAAAAAATACAAATCGTCAGAGCTCTCTTTGATCGTTCAGTACGCAGAAAAAAGCGTTCAGATCGCACTAAACCGAGCGGTTACACAGACCCCACACACAAAGAGGGAATGTTAAACCATCTCGGCCGGAGACTTCTCCTCGGCGACGAATCAATGTCTTCATCATTTCGACTTGCGCCCGCGGGAAGGGAAAAAAGGGTTTGCGTTATACCCTTTTAAACAAAAAGGGTTCGGGGCGTTCTGGTTCCTGCGTCGAGACGTAACGGTGGTCTTGTACCAGGAAGACTGCAAAGTGGATTGAGCACACCAAAAAAAATAAGAAGAGACAAGGACAAAAGAAAGAGAGAATAATGACTTGGAAATTATGTTGAAATGTCTGATGATTTTGTCGCTCAGTTATTCTTACATTCAGTAAAAAGTCAAGTGTCATCCTGGGAGCCTTTTCGCTCCATGGCGCCAAATAAATATCGTTAACATGCAATCTCACCTCATATCCATCATTATTGTGATAATAAAAAAACATGGTAAAAAATGCTCCTCTGTCGTCACAGCCTGAGACCTTTCGGGATACCATGGCTAAAAGTAGAACTGTTGCTGAGGTTGGCCTGGTGGGGGTTGGGCCAGAAAGTCAAAGTTTAACGAGTCCATTCCCGTGTTCCAAGGGTCTGGTGATTCTGGTAACGGATTAGTCTTGAGAGTAATGACAGACGAAAAAAAGAGGAGCGAAAATTATGTGACATACCACCCCAAATTGATTCGTAAAGGTCCATGGGAGCCATGTATTGCGTAGGATCGACATTCATCGCATTCATGCTGTCCATGTTGAGGTTTGCGTTAGCCTGCATCTGTTGGCTGTATGGAAGTCTGATGGAGACACATTTAGAAACAAATCACGGTAGATTGGTGGTACAATACTAACCCAGCAAAGTCTTGGATTGATGCTCCTCCGTTTTGCATCTCTGCCATGGCGAGCGCAGCGTCCTCTCGTGGGTCCGCGCTCTGGGAGACGTTGCGAAACATTGAATTGCCGTTTCCGGAATATTGTCCAGCGTTCCCAAAGGGGAATTGAGGCGTACGGCTCCCGCTGCCGGCGGCAGAGGCGTCGCCCTCCTTCTTGAGGTGCGATGGGACAATTGAGCCGTGGTCGTAGATATTTTTGAGGGCCGTCAATGCTCGGTACAGTGGGCCTGAAAGCTCAATGTCCTTGTCGGTGGTCATGACATGAGGTTCCGGGGAGCTAACGTCCTTGGCGGCAGTGGCAGACAGGGCAGCGATCAAATCGCCTTGTAATTGTCGAACTTCGGGGTCTGTCTTTGTTTCGCAAAGTATACCCAGTAGTAAAGCCGACGACAAGCCATGGTAAGTAAATGCCCAGCTTCTCGTGGGGATTGCAGACAATTGGTGCATTGCTAAGAACATTCGGACGGTTTCGGTTAGGTTGTCTTTGCAGCGATCCGCTAGCGTTTTGCGCTGCTCAGGTTCAAACTCGCTGTCTTTGCGAAGCGCTGGACGACATGCAACGGAGATGACAAATGATGTGTGAAGGCGAATTGCGTAGTGCTGTAGACGGTCGAGCGCTGTCTTGCAATTTTCTTTAGCCCGCAATTGTGGTGTGGTGCGGTTTCGAAGTTGTTCTACTGCTTCGCAATCTTCGACAATTTGAGCGTATGTCGAGCTCATCATATCATCGGGGTTTAAGCGACGGGAAATTATTTCCATAAGATGGTACATCGTCTCGAGGTATGAGTAGTTTCCGTTCGGCGTCGGCGACATGACGGGAATTGGACAACACGGGAAGTTGGTCATTGGTGACCTACATCGTCAGGGGTGAGTTCAATCATGGAGACACAATACTTACCGATCAAAAGAAAGCGACGTCAAGGTGTCGTGCCATACACAACTCCACCATAACCTCCTTCTAACCATCTCTTTCGATTGTGTGTTTGGCGGCGTGCAATCGCGACTCTCGTTACGTGGTGTTCTGTGCAGACCCAATGACTGCGCAAGGCGACAGGTCAATCCCATCAAAGCCCACGAGGCTTCCGCTTTCATATCATTTAGAAGAACAAAGCATGTAAGCAGGAGAGCTTGGATCGAGTCGAACGAAGGTCTGTTATACGTCAGTTTGAGCTCTGCTGTATCGGCAAGCAGCAATTACCGAAGAAGAAAATTGCCCAATCGGAGGAAATGGAAGGATATTTGGATGAACCGTTGGGAGTCTCGCGTACGGATATGGTAGGGAGATTCGTGGTATTGAGAACCGACTGCCAACACGGCAAAGAGTATGGCGAGCCATGATGCTGTGACGGGTTTGGTCGACTTCATTCCGCTGGTCGCATTCCGTGAACGTTCTTCCAGGTAAATCATTAGCTTGCTCTCGAGGTCGTCGATATCCATCACAAAACCCCAAAAGGGCTGCGGTATTTCCTTGTACGCCCTGAACAGCCTGTAACCTGTAAGCTTACGGGCTTCAAATATCCCACGGTCGCAAACGCAAGACTTACTTCATGACCTCGCGGTCGGATGGCAATTCATTTGAGATGTCCTGTGTTAGTTTTTGAAGGTGATGAGACGACATCAGCGGGAAAGGCGCTGATGTGTCCAGTCCCAGAATGGACCGCATGTCTTGTCGAATGTCAAGACCCTCGCCTTTGTGAACTGGTGAAGACTGCTCGCGCAGTAGGGCAGGAATACTGTTCTGCCCGAGATATCGATCTGCTCCCACTTCTGGCTCATCAATGCTTGCTGTAGTGTTTTGTTAGCCTGGTGGTGTGATGAGACATCAGCCAAACACTTACCAAGGGCGCGCGGCCAACTTTCCTGACGCTCAACCTTGCGTGTGGCTTCTTCACGGGGAACTTCTGAGAATGAATGTGTCCTCTTGCGATTAACGACGGTTTGACTGGATTCTGAAGCAGCACCTGATGCCGTCGGCTTGGAAGTTGATGAGCGATTGGGCTTATAAGAACATAATCGAGGGTGTTCTCTCTTGACGCAGTTTTCACAGGGTTGTTTGTTGTCGCACTTTACTTTGCGCTGGCGACAGGGCCAACACGCGGTGCCTAACGCGATGATAAGTCAAACAATTCCCAAATTGAGGTTATTCGCAAGACTCTTACCGTATCTGACCTTTCGATGGGAATGTATGATTCGATTGGCCTCCTCTGGGGTCAGGTCATCAATGACCACGCGCTCATCTGGACTAGGGTTTTCCGCCATTGTTAAGCGGGTTTCTGGGCTCTGAATCAAGGCTCGGAGCCAAACAAAAGTCGCGATAGCAATGGCGAGGTAATGTTATGATTGCAGATGAGGGTTTACGAATGCCGAACCCCGAGGGTCTCCATGCGCGATAGTGGGTGAGAGGGGAAGAGACGGCGGTGATGGGCGGGGCCGGTTCGGCTTTTCGAATTGGTGTTAGTTAAATATGAGAGGGACGACGGCTGATCTTTTGGCCTTTTCTTTCTGGTTGGTGGACTGGGAGGGGAATTGAAGCACGAGATCGGTGATGAAGCCGACCTCCGATGTGTCGGATAAATAAGAGCCGTTCCGCCAGCCAGTTACCCTGCACTCGTAGAACTGAACATGTCAATTGATAACGTGGATGGAACATGACGAGAATTTAGGACAGTCTTTCGTTCTTATTATAAACTTGTATAATAATGTTGAATAGGTGTCTAGTCACTGTAACTCATATAATTTTTTTATGTCCTCACTTTATGTTGAGTGTCAATGAGTTAGTCGGTAGTAGCATGGTTTCGTGTTTGTCCCTACCTACTGTCTTTGCGGTACGCTCCCTCCTTCAGGGTAGTAGAGAGACAGAACATCAACATGAAATACCCGTCTTCCTTTGTGCTACATCTACCATCTGTCTTCGAACAAACAAATCACCGAAATGAATCCAATATTTAATCATGTTTTTGTTTCCCCTGCAGCCCATATTTATTTACGGCTACGCGCAGTGGGGTGCCGATTCACTGTCGGTCTTGTTCAAAATGCTTCCACCACTCTCCAACAGTTGGCTCCGCCATGGTACATCGTCCAATTACTATCCATATGTGATAACCAATTTGTTATTACATTGCTTTACATTGAACTTGGATGGCCACTCGAGGCTGTGACTATTATTATCGGAATACAATTATATTTCGCTTGCTACGGAACGGGCTGTTGCGCCTCGGCGGTTACAGAGATCTGGGATCTCAAGGCTCGTTTCATTCAATGTGTGCGCGCGCTAACAACCTTCACTGATTCTTTCGCAGATCAGAAACTCTCCCTTACTTGACAACCGTTGGAACGCCCCAATCGTTTGACTTTTGGCATTGGGTTCACAACTGGCGCCGGTCACCATGTCTAGCAATATTTCATCTTCCAGAAAAGCTCAAGCCAGAGAGGAGCTTGATCGGACAATTCGCGCCATCAGCTCAGAATTCCAGCTTCAGCTCCAAATTCCCGACCCGACGCTGTCGCCGAGTAAGCGCCAGCGCCAGCGCCGAGATGAGGAACAGGAGAGATGCAATGCGATATACTATCGCGCGCAATTTCTCAAGTTCAAAGACCCGACTCGACTCTCAATATGTCTCACTCGGTTTCGCGAACAAGCAGACGATTATTTGACCAACTGGATCCGAAAGCCCCATGGTGATCCTGACACGACCCCGATCAAGAGTATTTTTGGTGACCCACATCACCATCGCGCAAGATTAACCTCAGAGGAGCGAGGCGAGCTTCAAGAGTATTTACTGCGACTGTTGAACGACAACAATATCACCAGTCAACAGCGCTCAAGAACTGCAAAGAGAAGGTCTGATGAGTTTGAGGATTACAGTTCAAAGAGAAGTCGCGACTCTTTTGACTCCCCATCCGTCGACAGCATTGATGACATCCCAGTCCGCTCTAGTCGTGCGCTTGCGGGACGGGCCGCTTGTCGGTCAGGTACGGCTTCATTCCCCAATGGCGTCGCAAGTCCAGTCACATCGTTTTCGAGCACCCAACCTCAGTCTTTATCCCCTGGTCCAGCCTCTTTTAATTCTAGTAAAGCTTCACTGGCCCCGACGGTTTTCTCTGCATCCACAAATGGCGCGCCTAGCACGCAAACAACAGTCTTGACGAATTCTTCCTTCAAAGGCTCGCGAACTTCTTTCCAGTCCTCTCAACCCAATTACAGAGACCACCAAAAACCGAAAGACTCCCAAATTCCTTTCTCACAAAGGATAAAAGAGTTCCAATTCAAGCCCGAAAGTACGCTCAATCGCAATGTCGACCCACCAAAGCCATCCTCGTTTAGGCGACATGACTCCGAAGTGTTCCCAGAGCCTGTCGACATGTCTGTCGACGAACCCCGACTCCCTCCTCTGGTGATGCCTCAGCCTGTACGAAACCGGCATCTTGGTATGAAGCAAAAAGAGATAACCCAGTCTAGTAGTCCTGGAACAGCCTACTCTAGCTTGCCCGAGATGAACGAGTTGGATACGTTGCTTCTTGATGCATCGGGTTTTGATACGACACCCGGTTCATGCGCTCTAACAAAGCGCCTGCGAAATGTTTGGCCCAAGTTTCCCATTCCTGGATTGAATCAGGCACCTTTGATCATATTGTGGGAATTGACCCGTGCCGCGCTTCACTGCTGCGTGGATCTGTCTCAATGGGACCTCGAGTACAAACCCGATCAAACTTGGCACGACCAAACTCATTTCAGGGCTTTGATCTTTCGACATCGTCTTTTCATCGGAGCGGGATTGCCAGCGCCTTGCGACCGTGCTGTATGGAACGCAGCTTTTGAGTCATTTGCCTCACACGACAAGCATGTTGTTCTTGCTGCAGAGTTAATCGTCAATACCGAGGACTCTGGCCCTTTGTACAGGCTCAAGCTTCAGCCTCCTCGCCTAGAACTTGGTCATCGACTAGCCCGTCGCTTTGGTGCGGACCGGTTCATGGAGATCATCATGCCATCCCCAACTTCTAGGGATGCTCCCGATGCGATCAGGAACGCCGATCAAGGCGCGGATAAGGTCATTCGATGGCTCAATGATAACCTACACTACTTTCTTGGGCGTTTTTGGTCTCCATTCTACAACCGTGGCGCAAGCAAGTCTGTAAAAGACCCTCGTCATCCTCACAAGTCCCTCATGATTATGCAAGAGCGCGTCTACTTCTTTGCGACTGATGGCAACAACTTTCGACTACCTGAAAGCCAGTTTCCACCACTGGAAGAAGCAACGTCCCTGGGACATCGGACAAAGATGAGGCGCTCTGATCTTTTGAAGTGGGCAATAAATGTAGAGGCAAATGCTCAACAGCCTGTACCAAAATTGTTCTCGCGACTTGCTCTCAGTTAGTTCCCCAACCTTTTGCATGGATCATCTAACACTCTTCCCAGGTCTCAGCAAAACTTGTCCCACCATCATCCTTGAACCTCACCAGTTCCGACACCGCGACATCATGCTGGGTTTCCGCAGGTTCATGAGCAATCGAGACAAAGAAGAGCAGAAGGACATGGGTGATGGTATCGCCAGGATGTCGCGAAGTCTTGCGCGCAAAGTCGCAACCCATCTTGGCCTATTGGAGACTCCATGCGCATTTCAAGCTCGTATTGGCAGTGCAAAGGGGATGTGGATAGTCGATGTCGAAGAAGATGGATTGGATGACGATATTTGGATTGAGACGTATCCATCCCAGCGCAAATGGGCGTGCGACTTTAAAGATGTCCACCACAGAACGTTTGAAGTACGAGAATGGTCCAGGGAGCTGAGGTCTGCATCACTCAACACGCAGTTTATTCCAGTTCTTGAGGCACAGGCTCCAAATCCCGGTAATATGCGCAACATCATAGCTAATCATTTAGCCAACGGTCTTCAAGATGAGATTGGGGGTCAGCTTGCGGCCATGACACATCCTACCAGTCTTCGTGGCTGGATGCATCGCGGCTTCAATCGATCAAACCTTGGGCATGTCCCCTTCGTAGGAGGGTTGCCAGATCATGATGAAGACATAGTGTCATTCTTGCTTGATGCCGGTTTCGATGCCACCAAGTGCCGTTTTCTACGAGACCTTGTATGGAGCAATCAGAAGCGACAGGCAGAACAACTCAAAACCAAGATGAACATCAAAATCCCACGGTCTACATATGCATTCATGGTGGCAGACTTCACTGGGACATTGGAAGAAGGTGAGGTGCAGCTTGCCTTCTCTTCCAAGTTCCAAGCCGATGGCGAGTCAGACACGCTACTAGATGATATGGACATCCTGGTTGCCCGAGCCCCAGCTCATTTCGTGAGTGACGTACAAAAGGTGAGGGCAGTGTTCCGACCGAATTTGAAGAGATTGAAGGACGTCATTGTGTTTTCGTCAAAGGGTAAATCGCCTCTCGCCGACATGCTTTCGGGCGGCGATTACGATGGTGATCAGGCTTGGGTTTGCTGGGATCCTGATATTGTTCGCAACTTTAGCAATGCGCCAAAGCCTGTTGAGCCAGATCTCGTAGGACAGGGATACCTACGAAAGTACAACCCAAGCTTCCAGTCAATTCTCGACACAATTCCCGACATGGAGACTGCCTGTACGGACTTTTTACGCTCGGCAATCTCATTTAATATGCAACCAACTTACCTGGGTATTGTGACCAAGTTCAAGGAAAGGCTCTGTTACTTGGAAGGAGGAGTCAACAGTGAACGGGCAGTTGCTTTGAGCACGTTGGTCGCTCTGCTTGTTGATCAGGCCAAGCAAGGCTTGCTGTTCACCCGCGAAGACTATGACCGATTGAAACGAGACATGGACATGCGCGGAAAAGAGCCAGAATACGAAAAGGAAAGAAGTTCTGTACAGAATTACAAGGACAAAAATGGGTTCATCCATATCCTCGACTTTCTCAAGTTTGTGGTCGCTCAGGACACTATCGATAATGCGCTGAAGCAATTCTACGATGCCCTCCAAGCCCCCAGTGTTCAGGCATGGGACAAGGAATTGACTAATCTTTACAACGAGTACAATGAACAGAGGAAAGATTCCAGGACAATTGATAGACTCATGATAGACATGGTCGCGCAAGTTGATGCCATCACCATGGATTGGAAGGTTGCGATGGCAGGAGGGAAAGCTGACAGCACGAGTAGCGAATTCTCGTCAAAGGTCAAAGAGCTGCACCAAAAATGGTCTTCATACAAGCCATCCGCTTATTTGCTGAGTACAAGAGTTGTCGAGCCACTCCTCGACCCTTGGAATGGTGATCCAGCTTTGAGCAAATGGGAGCTACTCAAAGCATCCGTCCTGTTCAAACTAAAGTGGGAACATGCATATCGCATGGTCTGGCGCCTTGCAGGAAAGCAGTTGGCATGGATGAAAGCCATGCTATCGCGCAGTGCCTCCGACACCAGCGCTATCGCCGTGACAGCCGAGATGTGGAGTATACTTCGTCCCGACAACAAGTGCATCGCAGCACTTCATGCTCAAAGACAGATTGGACATGATAATGAGAGTTTGGCCGCCTTGGAAGAGGTTACGGAATATGATGATGAGACGGGGACACAGATTGACGATGCTTAGAGGCGCATTGACTGGGCTGGTTCAGCGATCTCAGGTGGGAGGTCTTTTAGAGGTTGACCTTAACAGACATAAGTGTGGGGATTTTGACAGACGCGATATCTTGAGGGCTCACAGTCATAGTTCATCTCAATAGCAGGATGACTTTGGTGGATGTGCCAGGTTGAGACGTAACGACTGGGACATCTTTCCAACGCTTGCGTTGGATATTGGGCTTTGTATTTGCTTGCAGTTGTTGGTTGATACCCCCGGCGTAGTGAATATTCACGAAACCTTTAATTGAACTCTTGTTTCTGTGACTCAGATCAATTGGCCATCTTGAAATGACACTGGTTAATAAAAATGAAGCTATGTGATGATGTTGTACAAGTTCTCGTGAGTTCGTAATCATTAATCCTCCATTACTCCATAGCTGAATGTAGACTCATAACCCAAATCATAACTCATTACACACAAATACTCCCAAAACAATGCGTCTCCATCATCTCAATTCTTCGTTTTGATCGCTCAAACAATCTTCTGTGCCACACGTAGTAGCAGTCTCAATTGACGATACAAAACTCATCACAGAGCTCATGACAACGTTCAACAAATCCTCATCATCGTCGCCAACTTCAGAGAAAATAGGTTTTAGCTTGCGACTCATATCGGAAGCTATTCCTGCGTCAATAGAGACAATGCTCTCCAGTACATCGGTGAGCATATGCGCTGCGCGGGATAATGAGCGACCTCCCGATGCGCCTCCCAATGTCTCGATGTAGTCTTGTGTGGCCTTGAAGAACTCGCTCGTGATAATGTGTACATCATCAATTAAATTGCGGCGCTCTTCTTGGGTAAACACCATGTTTGGCGTGGTATCCAATTGAGATACAGTTTCGGAGAGGAGTGTTCTGATGGTGTTCATGGTGTCGACTGTTGTCGTGATGGCTTCATTCTTTAACCCCTCGAACTTGACTGCACTGACAGCAACGTCTTGTAACTGTTAGTAGCCAATCTTTTATAAATGTTGTGCGTTTGTACTTACTTATATCTTGACATTCGGTGCGTGCTCTCGTAGTGACAAAGTCCATGAGTTTAATGACACTGTCATGGTTCTTGCTCGCGCGTCTAATACGACCTGATATAGCGCGTGGTACCTTTTTTGAACCAGTGGGTAAGGTAACACCGATACGTGGTGTGAATTCTTGTGAAATGCCACGGTTTGAGACGGTGGTTGAATCTGGGGTGATGATGATGGGTAAAGCTAGGGTGTAGCTTGCCAGCGCAGCGGTAAAGACTGTAGAAAACTTCATGTTGGCAAAGACCGAGACCAAGAAAGGAAGTACAGAGTAAGCTTGTTTGTAGGAGCTGACCAACACTGGACTGTCTTGATAACTCGACGGGATATGAGATAGTTATACTCAAACCCTCCGATCATTCCCTAAAAGCTTATCACCTTACCCATCGAAATGTTATCTGACAAGGTCACACAGAGTTTATTCACGGCGCGGAGAGAAAAGGTCCCGTAGTTTGTTTACGGTTAGAGAGATTATGTTGGTTCCTGATATTTGGACGGGAAAGATCGGCGTGGCTTGAGATAGGATTTTGTGTAACGTCAAGTTGAACTTGTAATCAGGGGGGGATTGCACTGAGGCGCACGATCTATCACATTGCATTGTGATGGGCTTTGAAGGCTGAGATGGTACCTGTCATCATTTCCAAGCCATGAAACAATTGAACAAGGCTTGGGCCTGGCGGTCGCAAATCATACTGTGTTCTGAATGTGTCGATGGGATTGTCACTTTGACAGTGAACGGGTTCTACCCTAAGGATTAGTTTACTCGATATCGCCTCAACTCAGACTCCCCTCCCGGTCGTAAGTCTATACATAAAGGTGAGTCCGTGAGTAAGCCAAGGACTATAACCCGCTGACATATAACCGTCTTTTCACATTCCCAGACAGCCCCGTTGAAACACGGCGGAAATCTACACTACCGGATTCGGACAGCGATCTACTTGGGCTGCGTCTACTTACAGCCAGACAACATTCCTTGGAAGTGATGGGAATAACAAATCTTGGTCATTCCGGCAGCGTTGTTCCTTTAAGGCTGGCTCTTGTGCTGGTTTGGGAATGGTGGTCGAGGTTCCTGGCGGCCGCCCGACTGAGACAGCGATTGATCATCGACGTAAGCTTTCGGAGTCCGAGACTTTGGACGTTTACATATCGATTATGTCACCATTTGAGTTTGTGTTAAGCACGTTGTGAGAGTTGGACTCTATTAAACTCGAGAAAACAGAAGCTCGTAGTGATATGCCATTCAAGTTCGCCCCGTAGATGAAGTTATTCCTCCATCGACTACAATCTTTTGCCCAGTGATATACCTCGTCTCATCCGCCGCCAAAAACACAACAGTATTAGCAACATCCCATGCATCGCCCATCTTCCCCATAGGAACTTGTCCCTCCCTCATGCTACAAAACTCATCATAACCTCCAGGTGTGGCAAACCTCTGCGCAAGACTCTTTGTGTAGGGTGTATCCATGAGCCCTGGAACAACAGCATTGAGCCGTACACCCTTTGGCGCGTATATAACTGCCGTAGCCTTGACGAATTGCAGTATCGCTGCTTTGGTTGTGTTGTACGCTACTTGTGGCTTGCCGATGTATCGAAGACCGGCGATGCTGGAGATGCATATAATTGAACCACTTCCTTGAGATTCCATAATTGGAAGAACATGGTGACATGCGAGGTAGACGCTTTTGAGATTAATGTCCATTTGGGAATCCCATGTGTCTTCAGTCATGGATGCAGGATCTCCTGGTTGCGATTGACCAACACTTGTCAACAAGATGTCAATCCTTCCATGTTTCTCCATACAAGCGTCCACAAGAGCCTTGACGGATGCATAGTTTGTAGCGTCTGTGGCAATGATATCGCATTGTCCGCCTTGTTCTTGGATAGTTTCTTTGGTCTTTGTCGTTGAAGCGATTGTTCTGTTTCCGCCAAAGATGATGGCTCCTTGTTTTGCAAGGGTTACGGCGCTTGCTGCGCCGATACCCCAACCTTCGGTGTTCGTTTGACCGAGGCCGATGACGAGAGCTACTTTGTTCTTGAGGTTGAGCATGATGATAAAATAATGAAGAATGCGATACTAATGAAGTTTACTGAGATGTCAATCATGACAATTAATGCATCTTTTATCTCTTTTGTTTTGTTGCTAATCGGGACTCCTCCGTCACCTAGACGGGAGACGTCCGGGTATTGCGTGATGACCGGCGCGGGGTTACCCCGTTCACAACACACTCAACCACTTTGGAGTATGAATAAATAAGCATTGATCCCATTCATCAATTACAATACTCAAAGGTCCATCAAAAGAGCCAAAATGACAGACTCCAACAATACCCCCATAAACCCAGACTATGACCTCGACAAGCCCATAACCTCCAAAGTCGGCCTCCGTCAAGGTCTCGCCTCATACGGCGACCCTCACTTCTCACTCTTCCTCCGCAAAGTATTCATCAAAGCTCTTGGCTACAGTGAAGATGCACTCTCGCGACCAATTATTGGCATTGTTAATACATACTCTAGCTTCAATCCTTGTCATGCCAATATCCCCCAGCTCATCGATGCTGTAAAGAGAGGCGTGCAGCTCAATGGGGGATTGGCGATTGACTTTCCTACTATTAGTATCCATGAGTCATTTTCCTCGCCGACGAGTATGTATTTGAGAAATTTGATGAGTATGGATACTGAGGAAATGATTGCGGCTCAGCCTTGTGATGCTGTTGTTTTGATAGGAGGTATGTTCCCTATTTTGTGTCAATGGCGATGTGTACTAACTACTCGGCAGGGTGCGACAAAACTACACCTGCTCAATTGATGGGTGGTATCTCCGCAAACAAGCCCATACTGCATCTCGTCACTGGCCCGATGATGCCTGGTAGTCATCGTGGAGTTCGCATCGGCGCTTGCACTGATTGTCGCAACAATTGGGCCAAGTACAGAGCTGGAAGTCTAGACATTGAGGATATATCAGCCATCAACGATGAACTAGCACCAACTGTAAGTCTTAAACGCACCATTCACTTCTGTATCTGACAACGCAAAGGGCGGAACTTGTGGTGTCATGGGAACAGCATCTACCATGGCATCCATACTCGTCGGTCTAGGAATGATGCCTTTTGCCGGCGCCACAGCCCCAGCGGTATCAGCCTCCAGACTTCGTATCGCAGAAGCAACTGGTGGATTAGCTGTAGCTGCATGCAAAGATGTTGAACGTCTGCGACCGCAAGCTTTACTCACACGAGAGTCTTTCTTGAATGCCATTACTGTGCTGCAGGCAATCGGTGGTTCGACGAATGCTGTGGTCCATCTCATGGCTATCATCGGACGACATCCCAAGGTAGCGGGAACCATCACATTGGACACTGTCGATGAGATAGGTCGTAAAACACCATTGTTGGTTGATCTGAAGCCAAGTGGTGATAACTACATGACCGATTTCCACAACTCAGGTATGTCCACTTACAAATAATTATGTACTGTCTCTGACTAACAATTTTAGGCGGCATGCTCGCTTTGTTCCACCAACTCAAACCTCTTCTCTACCTCGACGCCCAAACAGTCACCGGCCGAACCCTCGGCGAAGAAATCGCCCATCAATCTCTCATACCCGTCCCACAAGAACTAAGCGTCATCCAACCCTTCGACAAACCTCTGTACCCAGCATCTTCCCTCGTCGTCCTCCGAGGCAATCTAGCCCCCGGAGGCGCCGTCATGAAAGCCAGCGCCTCCAAGTACAGAAAACTCCTCCAGCACACAGGTCGCGCAGTCGTATTTGCCAACTCTGCAGATATGGCCGAGCGGATTGACGATCCAGATCTTGAAGTTACTCCCGACAGCGTCCTCGTTCTTCAAAACATCGGCCCTGTTGGGAACCCTGGTATGCCTGAAGCGGGCATGATTCCTATCCCGAGAAAGATCGCAGCGCAGGGTGTTTTGGACATGCTGAGGTTGTCGGACGGTCGTATGAGTGGTACAGCTGGAGGGACGATTGGGCTTCATATATCGCCTGAATCAGCAGACCCCAAGTCACCACTTGGTATTGTCCGAGATGGCGATCTCATTACATTGGATGTTGAGAAACGCAGTCTATCTGTCGATCTCTCTGATGAAGAGATTTCTCAGAGAATTGAGGAGAGAGTCAGGAGTTTTGAGCAGAATGATGCGGCGCCCTGGGTCAAGAGAGAGGGTATGAGAGGGTATCGAGGATTGTACATGCGAAGCGTCAATCAGGCAGAGCTAGGCGCCGACTTTGACTTTTTGACAGCTGAAGGACCTCAAAGGTCATGAATTCTATAGTTCGGTAGAGTATGTAGGGATAAAGTCCTGGAACAAGTCTCGTACAATGTTATCCACGTTGATGGAATCCGTCTCCTCAAAGTATCCAGCGAATGAATCGTTAAACATGCAATCATCAAACGGATTTTGCAAAAATCCCATGCTATCCGTGTTCATCATTGATGTATCCATGGATGCGCCCGGTAAACCCAGTCCTTGAACGTCAATTGCTTCGGTCGGAACAGGTCCATGGTTGATGGCCTGGGACATTGAACGACTGTTGACACCATTCGATAGACCATTTTGATCACTGAGATGCCGAATAATCGACTTGCCAAGTTCATCCAGAATGTCCCTACTGCGCTTCGCCCCAGACCAGTGTTCCCCCGTTGCACTAAGTACACTGAGGGATATACTCATGTCAGTCATCAAGACGTCCATCTCCGTTGCGCGAGCAATATCGGGGACGACTTTTATGCAATACAAAAGAGTGATTGTGCTCAGAACAAGACCGTGGAAAGTAGTCCAGCTATGTACGAGAAGGTCCTTTTTGTAAAGCTGGTCAAACAATTGTATACTCTCGCGCGCACTTTTGTGGCACTGTACCAAAGCTTCATTGGAGGGTTTGGGTATACCGGGACTTGGTCTTAGAAGAAGCATTCGAAGACCATGGTATCGTATTTGACATGTCGTCCGCAAGTAGAGAGCCGAAGGGTTGTCTTGGCTTGGTATCTGACTTGCCCACTCATCTAGTTGATGTAGCATAGTGGTTTGCCAATCGTTGATGTCCACAACTCTCGGATATGCATATCTGGGTGAGTCTCTGACTATACTCTGGGCGATATACTTGATCTCCGAATTAAGCTTGGCAGATTTAAACAGATGAATAGCAAACGCCATTTCGCTCGACGTTTCCGTAGTCTGTTGATACGGTGTAGCAAGTTGATCATCAGACAACCCAATAGGCATCTAAAACCGTCAGTCATTGCCCACTGTCTTGAACATCAACACTCACTCGAAGTTCACAGCCCTCGTCTCTTATCCCAATAGGTCTCCCCATCATAGTCGCAATAACACGATCAAACGTATAAATAACCCAAAAGATACGCGCTCTCATTTCTTGCTCCAATAACGAAATGCCAACCCCCGCGCTAATATTTCTCTGAAGTCCGAGGTCAAGTAGAGCGGCGATGCAGTGGTAGTTTAAATACCACACGTTCAATCGAACAGAAGGGCTATGCATGGTAAATACTAAAAGTAATAAAAGACATTGTGCCCCTTGTAAAGAGTTTTCGAGATTTAAATCGTCGAGGTATTGGAGTGCTGAGAGACAGTATGACTCTGCTGGGATGCGAGCTCTGATGCGACCGGATAAGACAGCTGAGCCTATGGCTAGAACCATGAAGATCTGGAATCTAACAACTGGGTCTTGGTTATCTTGTTCGTATGCCTGTTCCAGCATAGTATCGAATGTCGGACGGTGAAGAATGGGGTACTGTAGATTGATGGCGCTGAAGTAGGCATCACACAATTGCGCCGCCATGTCTTGTTGTGGTAAAGGTAGAGGTCCCTGAATAGCTTCTACCAATTTTGTAGGAAATGGAGTATTTCTACTCCCGCGACCAAGTCGTTCATCTTGTTTTGAGACTGAATCGAGCATGACGCGGGCTAGGAAATAACCACTCGAAGGACCAATGTATCTCGGGTCTTGGTTTGTCCCAAGAGACACCAATCCAATCTCGTGAGTAATCGCACCAGCTCCTGTAGATCTTACTGGCTGGTTTGTATCAGATACATCGATGGTGCTTGTTCGCGCAGGTGGTGATGCTGTTGTGGTGTCTTGAAGAATGGTATCATCCAAATCTTTCTGGATATCCGAGGGCGCGTCCTGGGATAAGTCTACGTCTGGACATCTTGATCTGACAATTGATTCCAGCCAAGTTATCCTGTTTTTTAATGTCGATATGTATCTACAACATTAATTGGTATGTCATGCGAAAGAATGGTGGCGCTCACTCTCGAGGTAGGTCTTTCAGACGGGCGGATTCTCCATCTGTACAGGTAGCACCAGCATTACGGCAATTCTTACACGTTGGTAAATCCCCATCACACTACAGACAGTTAGTCAATTAATGGTATTCATGTTCATAGGATATCAGTGCATACTTTGATCTTTCGTCTTTGACATCGGAGACAGGCCATGCGAAGGCGGGGATTCTTCCGGCCTGGCTGGCCACTTCTTGTGCGTGATTGTCTCGCATTATCTCCGTTATTGTTATCTTCCGACATGGTGGCTGTGTTGGTGTAGGTTGAAGGTTAAAGAATGGGAAAATCCCGTACTGTACTGGGTCTTGCGGGGAGATGCCGCTAGTAGCATTCTGGAGAAACGGAGTTTGCCCGCAAGACATAATTAAGTATCTCACTCACTCATTCACTCTTATAAGCCATCATCTTGATCAAAATATTGAAGCATAAAACAGAAAATAATAACTACTCAATAACAAAGCACAAAACAAACACCAATCAACCGCTTCTTCCGAATTACACCACCACCATGGCAGACCAAGAAGCATCCCAGAAAATCCCCATCGCAGCATCAGAAGCCCAACGCTTTGTCCAAGATATCCTCCAAGCAAACGGTATCCCTTCAGAGAATGCCACCATCATCGCCAAAGGCCTCGTAGCAGCAGATTTACGAGGTGTAGACACCCATGGCATGAACCGTATACCTTCATACATGGAGCGCATTCGTCAAGGCGTCCTCAATGCCACGGCCCAACCCATCCTGACCCAGGTAACTCCCGCAGTCGCTCAAGTCGACGGTCAAAATGGTTTCGGTTTTGTAGCCGCTTATAAGGGAATGGCTGCTGCAATCGAGTCTGCGCGCATCTTTGGTATCGGAATGGCGAGCATCAAGCACTCTAACCACTTTGGAATGAGTGCCTGGCTCGTGCAACAAGCCCTTGATGCCGACATGATGAGTCTTGTCTTTACCAACTCGAGTCCTGCTCTTCCTGCCTTTGGTGGCAAGAGTAAACTCATGGGTGTTTCACCTATCGCTTGTGGCGCGCCAGGTAAAGGGCCTATGGAGAACTTCATCCTGGATATGGCACCTTCCGTAGCAGCGCGAGGAAAGATTTATAAAGCAAAGCGACGAGGTGAAAAGATTCCTTTAGACTGGGCTCTCGATTCAGAGGGAAGACCTACAGATGACCCCGAGGCTGCCCTGGGTGGTGTCATGTTACCCATGGGTGGCCCAAAGGGTTCTGCACTGTCAATAATGATGGATGTTTTTTCGGGAGTTCTATCGGGTTCTGCGTTTGCAGGACACGTAACTGGACCGTATGATCCATCCAAGCCAGCGGATGTTGGCCATTTCCTAGTTGCCATCAAGCCTGACCTCTTCATGAGTCTGGATGACTTTCGCGAGAGGATGCAGTACTTGTATGAACGAGTGGTTGGGTCAGAAAAGGCTGCTGGTGTTGACAGGATTTACTTCCCTGGTGAGATCGAGCAGTTGAATCGAAAGGAGAGGGAGAAGACTGGAATTCCGCTTGTGCAGGCTGAGATTGATGCGTTGAATGCTGAGGCGGAAAAGGTTGGGGTAGAGCCATTGAGATATTAGATACCTGGTAGATGATGTGGATGACCTCCATAATGATACTAAACGTTTGAACTTGAGGAGACCTTTTACCCATGATAATGCGACGGCGTCCTTAGGGTATCAGAAAAATTAGCCGCTGGAAGCATAAGAGACGGAATTTAGGTCACCTTATGCCCCTTAGGCTATAGTCCTTAGACTACTTGTTTTCATACCCTACGAGTTAGGAGCCCGTTGTTTCTGCTACCCACTAGTGCGTAGACTTCTGGTGCAGCTCATCATCGATTTGGGTCGTGGTATCTCCCACATTTGCCTGAGGCGAATGCTCCTCGTTTGTCTGAGGCACTTCCATTTGGGACTCTGACATCTGAGTCTCAGGCATCGGAGTCTCTGGCTTCTGGGCCACGGGATGCATATGGGACCCTTGCATCTGTACCATGGGATGCATCCGCTGAGGTACCCCATTCGACGGAGGCATATATCCTCTGTTCATATAGGGCGCCTGACCATTCATCTGAGGTCCCATCTGTGGCGCCAGTGGCCTCATTTGACCCCCATTCGGCACCATCTGCTGTGTTAGATGATGGAACCCATGGAACTGACCTTGTGGACCAGCCGTGCTAACAACGTAGTTGGCTGGCACAGGAGGAAAATGGTTGGCCTGGGTTGCTACCGGAAAACCAGGCGTGCCATTAGCAGGCATTGTGTAAGCATCAGGCATAGAAGCCCCGGGCCGAGGTTGGTTCGTGGGAAATGGTCTGGCGGATCTGGTATCACAACCCATACCATTTACCATGGGGTATGAGTTACCCATAGGCGCCTGCGGGTTCCAAAAACCAGGCACGTTCGGGCGTAAGAGATGCCCTTGAGGATCACCATTTCCTCCCTGGAAAGACTGGTCAAAATGAGGCATGGGATTACCAGGCCACTGACCATCTGGGCGACTGCTGAGGCTCCTAAGCGGCGGTCTTTTGCTGCTTGGGGCTTGAGCTTCAAGCTGATCTTCCTCCAAATCCTCTCGGGTTCTCTTTGGAACTCGATTGGGGGGAGGTACTTGGGGGACTTGATGAGGGGCGACGGGCTGGTGAGGTTGAGGAATGTCACCCTCCAATGGCTCTGTCGCCTGACGAAGTGAGTCGAGATCAACTGGGTGGGTGATCTCGGAGTTTGCTGCAGGCGTCTGTTCTATATTATAAGGCAGCCAAATACCCTGATGCCCACCAATATATACAGTAAGACCGTATAAACTTGACTCGTCGTATCGCACTTGTTGGGTTGGCGAATCCTCGACCCGAGTCAAATCAACGAATATACGGCGGTTCACTCCACCGTTGTGGTCGTTGTGGTCGTTGGGAGCGTTTGAGTCCATTTCTGCTTCTGTCGTGTTAAATGCTGGGTGAATGTGTGATTTACCTATGAGCAGAATGTTTGGAAAGCCAAAAATGTGATAGACTTGGGAACAGAAGCAGGAGTTTTATGCCTCAGAACGAAAGGCAATCGGCCATTTATTGTTATTAACACCTTTATGGAAGTTTCTTTCCTCTGTGTCTTTGAACATGGAAGCTTCTTTTTTCCTCGTGTGCTTGAACGCGTACGCAAATCTTTGAGGATACCGGCGCAAAGAAACTTTGACTTCATCATCAGGGCTTTGTGTTGTCGCAAAAGAGGGTCTGTCGCAAGTCTGTCGCAAACCTTGACAGTTTTATACACGGTATTACACAATTCTTTGTACATTTTGTACTCCGATGTAGTCGCCGTTGTGATCGCTTATTGTTGAAGGAGAGACAAGTGGTGAAGGAGTACCTGCAATGACTCCATCGTGACTGATAAGGGCTTGCGCATTCTTCTTCTCAACACGTCGCCTCCAAGGCTTGTACAACAATATGGATCCCAAGCCAACAATGACAAAGACACCGCAAATACTTCCGCCGATAATGTCAAAGTGGTCGCCTATGGCAGAGACGCCGTCCCAGAAACGTCCCTGAGGGTCAGCGACATTCTGAATAAGGGACAGAAGCTGGACGATTCCGATAAAGGCGGAGACTACAACAGTGATACCTGTTAGAACTATAGAGTAGTATAGAATCGCTACGACGTCTCTGGAAAAGGCATTCGAGGTGTAGAGAGCCATCATAAGCGCGCCATCAGTCGTGTCGAGCATACACATCCCAGCTGGAAAAGGTTAACAGACATGACTTGTTGAGGAGGCGTTGAAGTTGCGCAGCAGTCAACCCCGCAAAGTATGTTCGTGACTCACCCGTAAATAGAATTGGGAATACTAGAATCAGCCAGATACTCGTCCCTTGCACAGCCTGGATACTGGCGATACCCAGAATGGCTATCTCTGAACTGGTGTCAAAACCTAGCCCAAAGACCACACCAAGGGGGTACATTTTCCATGGCCGATCGATAACGCGAAATAGCCTTTTAAACACCCTTGTTAGGAATCCACCACCTTCAAGAGCAAAGTGATCTTGGATTTGAGTTTCCTCTTCTGCGAACCCTTGTAGGTGGACACGATCTCTTCGATCCCGAAGGATTGCCTGCAGACGTTGAACTAGCTTATACAGAACCCAACCATTCCCAACACAAAGAATGATTAGAAAGGCAGCACTGACGCTCGTTCCTACTATGTTACCGACGCGCTGGAACCCATCAAAACGATCTCTCAGAGCACCGCTTGTGGCAGCGACGACGATACAAGTTACAATGACAATGGTACTGTGACCGAGTGAAAAGAAAGTTCCCACAGTAGCGGGTCGTTGCCCTGAGGCGATAAGACGTCGGGTCATGAGATCGATTGCCGCGATGTGGTCGGCGTCTAAAGCGTGGCGCAAGCCGAGGACATATGACAGAGCCGCCGGGGAGATGAGAGCGGGGTGGAAGTGTAGAACGATTGCGACAGCGATCCATACTAAAGCATTAACTCCGACGAGGATTGTGATAACAAAGATGCTATTGTTAGGAATCCCATTGAGAAATTTGGGTTTCGGTAATCGGCGAAGTCGATGGAAGAGGGTGTGCATAGTGGGATTGAGGGTATCGCGATAAAAGTTTGGTGTTGAAGAAAAGAATAGAATTAGGAAACGGCATCAACAAAACAAAATACTGTATGCAGTGTTACAATGTTAGTAAATATAAATAGTTCACAATCAGGGTGGGCGATTGGCTGACTATACAGAGTCGTCGGGACAAGTAATATACCTACGCAAAAGATGGATGGTGTGGACACTTTCACCACAATAAGAAGCGAAAGCAGAAAGAGAACAAGGAAAACGGAGGAAAGGGTCCAAGAGGGGAATTATTTTAAATACACGCAATTAATAATAACCTTTATTCGACAATAATTTAGTGATTGCGTATAACTTCAGTCATACAATCGTGGGCGCTTTTGATGGGCCAGCTGGTTGTATTAGTTTTGTGGCCGCCGGCCGCCGAAGGCTATCTTTTGATGATGTTTTCTCCATGTCACAATATCACCTAATTCTGAACATGAAGGGATTTTTACAACACAATTTATTGATATGAATACTTCTTACTCCACTCAAGTATGACTTTTATCTAACAAGACCGAAACTCGTCTCAAATGAATCCTCATCCTTCTCATCAACCTCAAAGTCGAACCTCGTCACATCCTCCGCGTACGGCCATAAATACTGACTTGTTACCCTGTAGCAAGCCATCAGCATAAACTCTTTGCAGTTAAGTGGACAAAGGAGAAACTTACCTGTGGTGTTCACTGCTCGCTTGGTACTCGGCCAATGCATCGGGGTTTTGGTGGAAACTCAATAGACAAATTTGATAGCCCTTGCTACGAGCGATGGGATCCGTGATGGATGGTCCGCCTACTACTAGACGTTGGTCCTTGACACATGGTAGTGTTTTGAGAGTCTTGAGTTCATTGATGAATGTTTGGCGATGGGACTCATCCACTTCGGCGCGGAATTTGAAGAGGACTGAGTGATGAGCAAGTGTTAAGAGAGATGAGGTTTGAGGGACATACCAATGTGAACAACAGTCATTTTGTATGTCTATTTGTATGAGATTGTTAACTTGATGAGTCTCGAGAAGAAGAGGTACTGACTTGAAGTTATATAACTCATCGTGCGGACTTGTCCCGTTGACGAGCATGGCCTTCGGGAAACGCCCGTGTTAGCATCTTGACGGCCAGAATGACTTATCGGTATGTCATGATAGACCATGAAAGACTACATATTGTTTTCTTTAGTCTTGACATACTGTTTTCTTTATAAAACAAAATGATACACTCCCAATGTTCTTCTTTGAGTCTTTCACACACCATACTTCACTATCCGCAATTACTCGAAATAGCGATACATCAACGTCTCAAACCCTCACCACTTTCTAAATGGATATGTACAAGGACGGGCCAGAAACTTCATATAATTAAGAAGAATTTGATATAAATTAAAATAATAATTAATAAATAAAACAGATCAACTCCAAAGCTCTCTGTTCCTGCCTCGGCTGCCTGTGGTTGTGCATCTCCACAATTACTTACCTGCACCAACACAAACTTGACATCGAACCACCATCTTTGATCAAACAACATCAACATTTGCGCTACTGTCAAAGCTTTAATTCTTCATTCACAGTAAATCTTGCGTCATTTAGATGCCTGCTACCGACAAGTACTGTACGCGCTCAGCACTAACGGCCTTCGACATGGTCTCGGCACCTCCTCCCAAGCAAGACACTCATTGCGACGAACTTGTCACACTGCCTACACTACAATCTTCGACGGGACGGATAAGCTTGTGGGGGTATCACAGCATCCGATACACTTGAGGGGGAAACAAAGACGATCAAAATCCGGGGAGGTAAGCGACGCTTGTACTGGATCTACCTACCTGCCTACTAAGTCTAGATAATAGTCTACGTGACTAACGACAGGGCATCTTTGCGGCAGAGTCGAGACAACTACGATAAGACAACCCTTGTTTATCATTTTCAACCTTGTGCACCGTTGCATGCATAATGCAGATGCATTTCCCCGCCAGAAAAGACCACCAACGATGCGGCTGAACGACAATCTGAGGCCTCGCACAACATCAGCCCCAGGTAGCAACGATGTTGCCTATCCTACTACTTACTACATTGGAGTCGCAATTTCAACTACGATACGCCTGATCATGCCAGCGTTGCATCTACTTAGCCATGTGGAATGGAAACAATTAGGCTAGACAGGCCACGAGGCTAGGCCCATCCAAAGGCCCATCCAAAGTCCCATGCTTCAAATCCATGTTCCAAGGCCAACCCCAGATTTTGTCGATACTCGAGTCAGACGCTATTGTGTTGGCACTGGCTTTTGAGCCGAACTACGCGACAGCGCTAAAAAAACCGCCGATCGGACCTTGTGTTCCAACTCGAGTCACCACAGAGACCCTTTTGTCCACAGCACCCTATTTCGCTCCGCCCACTGTCTGTGCCGCACAACTTGAGGCTCTGTTGTGCACCTGCTTAATAAAGACCCGTTATCATTCTCCATCAAAAGACCTCCCGATCTCTGTAACTAATACACTTGCTAAAGATCGAGAATGCGGGGAAAGCTCTCATTCGGTTGACAAACGGCGCATGGAGACTTGAAACCGGCGTCGAGTCGCGAAGAGAATGGATTTGCGCACTTCAGCTCGCCATTTCTTACTGATAGTGAAGGGGGTTAAAGGAAAAAAGAGTCAGATCCCCGTTGTCGGAAGTGTTGCCACCACAGACTAGGCCAATCCGTCACCGCTTATAGGTCAACCGCTTATCACCCTATCGATGAGGTACAGTACCTCGCGGTCTGTACTGATAACTGTCTGTTCTTTTCTCCGCCTCTTTGTTCCAGAAGCAGGCGGCGGATTTAGCGACTCATGGAAAAAGCATCACTTGTTTTGGTACCAACTGTTCCAGCCACTTTCACCCGTGAGACATTGGCGACCAGTCATTTATCGCCTTGAAGGCCTCAGGAGCACACGGTCCTTACGACGAGTTTCTATGCGCCTCTACGCCTATCACAGGCTGAGATGAGACATGCAGCCTCGAATGCTCCGTCCCTGCTTCTGACAACCGGGTTCCTCCCGCACTGTTTGCCTCGCCAAAGTACCTTAAAGGAGACAACAAGGATCCCCCCAGGACCCTGACAATTGTTCTAGGTTGGACCCCTAGAAAAATACGACCCACATCCCTACTTCCGGGCTCAACGATTCAGGAGTTTCTAGCCTCGTTGTGTCAACGAATCGGAATGGAGCAAACTTGGTGGTCTTTGCGACGGTGGATGGCAAAGATTAACAGATCTTTGACACGCCAAAGTTTCGGTATGCAATGTCGTGCTTTGCTTCGCTTTGCTGTACAGTACAGCACTGTCTGCTTTGTAACCAGCGGGTCTGAACCGGTCATCGGACTGTCCGTCTTGAAAGAACTTATTATCAAAACTCCAGTCCACACCTTCAACTGGGTCGCATGGTCGACTGACAGGTCTGCCAAGGGACATTCAACTTGGTAGAGCGGTCTGGAATCTATGCATTACAAACGGGGAACGCTCTACACCTCTACACCATGTGTCATGCAAGGCTCGAAACCACCTGTCCGTCTCGACGTGAAATTGGTAGGCTGCTGGGATAAGCCATTATACAGTCCTTCCTCTGGTACTAGGTACATTCTACACTTCCACTTCTGGGGGGAATGGAGACGCCAGCAAGACCCTTGCTGCTCGTCTGCGCCAATCCACACGGTAGACGCACCCTTGCCCGGTGCGGAAAGTGCACCGTGCGTCATGGTGTCTCTTGTGAATAACTGTCGATACCGTATGTACTCGGTACTGTACCTCAACACCTTGTCTTAGCTCGGGTCGCAAGGAATATGACGAGCTTCGCCATGGCCTCCCCTTTGTCTGTCGGTGTAGCTGCACAGTACAATCTGCAGGGCTGGGTCTTGAGTTGATGGACCCTGTTGTGAAGCTGGTGGCTGATGGCTAGTCCCATCCAACGATAACATTCCCGTTCCCTTCACCCAGCAATTCCTCAGTTATTGTCGCCTATATATACCTTCCTGTCCTCCGACCTCGCTGATTCACTCTTCTTGACTTTCTGCTCTGTTATCAGGACATTGTTCCTACCATATCTCATCGTTCTACTACTACTCTGTTGGGTCTCTGTCCTTAACTTGTTCCTCAACAAGACTTACCCTCCACCTCATACCTCACACTCGACTCCTATCACTGGGAGGACAATCCTCTTCCACACGGTTTATCGTCATCGGCCATCAACATGCACGGCTACAGTTCATCAGAAGAGTCCGACGACCCTCGTCGGCCTCGCGCTCAACCCGCTGGCAACAATAACAACAACGACAAGACAAAGAAGAAGAAGAAGAAGCTTCCTCCCCAAAAGTCCATCAACCAGATTTGGAAGAAGTTCTCCAAGCGCAAGTTCCACAAGGCCCTCGCCGTCCTACCCTTCGACCCCGTACAACCTCCCGCTACATACCACTCCAATGAGATCCTATCGGCCGGTTACGAGAGAGCTGCTGAGGAGTGTCGACGGAAAGTCGAAAAGATCATTAAAGAATGCAAGCGAGTGAATATGCGATACAGAGACCCCGGTTGGGACTTGGTAAGTTATTCTTGGAAACCCCAGATTACCCATGCATGAATGTGGCGCTAACGCACGACCAGGACTGGGATCTCAAGTACGAAAAGGGCCATTGCTTGAACGCCCTTGGAACAACAAAGTTTGAACTCAACAGGACGACATTGTTGAGCTCCAAAGCTGCTGTTCCCAAGGCTGTCAAGCGAGTGCATGAAATTTTCGAGAAGCCAACTTTCATGAAAGAAGTTAGCGGTGGTGACGTCAAGCAAGGAAGCTTAGGCGACTGTTGGATCATGGCTGGCCTAACAGCTCTCGCCGGCGTACCAGAAGGTCTACAAAGGATCTGCGTCGCGCATGACACAAAGATCGGCATTTATGGTTTTGTGTTTTACCGTGATGGCGAATGGATCTACTCCATCATTGACGACAAACTCTATCTCAAGTCACCATGCTGGGACTCACCTAGCATGCAGAGAGACCTTTTGCAGCAAATCGATCGCGAAGACAACGAAAATGTTTATCGCAAGACTTATCAGACTGGCTCCAAGGCTCTTTTCTTTGCTCAGTGCAGAGACCAAAATGAGACTTGGGTCCCTCTCTTCGAGAAGGCCTACGCCAAGGCTCATGGCGACTATGCGTCATTGGCTGGTGGCTGGATCGGCGAGGGTGTCGAGGATCTGTCTGGAGGTGTGACTACCGAGCTTCTGACGTCGGATATCCTCGACATTGACGAATTCTGGGACAAGGAGATGTCACGAGTCAACGATGAGTTTCTCTTTGGTGCCTCCACAGGTCTGCTTGAGCATGGCTACGGTGAGCGTAATGGTATCTCTGAGGGACACGCCTACGTCGTCCTTGATGCCCGCACCCTCAAGTCCGGTCAACGTCTAGTCAAGCTCCGTAACCCTTGGGGCAAGGTCCGCAAGGGTATCTGGGAGGGAGCTTGGAGTGATGGTTCCAAGGAGTGGACCGCTGAGGTCCAGGAAGAGATCGACCACAAGTTTGGTAGCGACTCAGTCTTCTGGATCTCCTACGAGGATCTCATCCGCAAGTACTCTCACTTCGACCGTACCCGTCTCTTCCGCGATCGCGATTGGCGATGCTGTCAGCGATGGATTGGTGTTGATGTTCCATGGAAGGCAGCCTACCACGAGAAGTTCCATATCAAGGTGACGCAAGACACTCCCCTCGTGTTGGTCCTTTCGCAGCTCGATGGGCGATACTTCAAGGGTCTTCACGGCCAGTACTCTTTCCGCATTCACTTCCGACTTCACTACGAGGACAGCCCTAATGCTGAGGATTACATCGTCCGATCTCATGGCAACTACCTCATGGAGCGCTCGGTCTCTGTCGAGCTACCTGATCTCCCCTCTGGCAACTATGTCGTCTACCTCAAGGTGACTGGTGAGCGCGACTCCAATGCCCCATCCGTTGAGCAAGTTGTCAAGCGCGAGGCTGCTCAGAGAGTCGAGAATGAGAAGCTCGCCCAGGTTGGTTACGCCTACGATCTTGCCCACAGCAAGGCTTGGGATCACATGGACAAGGTGACCAAGCTTCGCATGAAGCAGGATCAGAAGAAGGCATCTGCTTGTCGTCAGAAGGAGCGACGCCGAATGTGGGAGAAGCGCGCCACCAACCGCGATGTCTCTAAGCAACAGACCAAGAAGAACTCTGAGAAGCGAAAGCGTCGTCGCGCTGAGTGGGAGGCTGAACAGACTCGTCTTGACGAGGAGTTTAATGCCAAGGTCAAGGCTGAGCGAGAGCAGATGAAGAAGGAGAGACTTGCCAAGGCCGAGGCCGAGAAGGCTGCTGAAGCTGAGAAGAAGGCCCAGGAGGCCGATGATGAGGCTTTGAGCAAGAAGACCGAGGAGATCAAGCTGTCAAACGACAAGGAAGAGACTTCTCTTGAAGATGGTGTCATTTCATGCTCAACTGGGTCTCCTCACTTCACCCCCAAGAGTGTCGACTTGACAACAGTTGATGCTGCTCAAGAGAAGCAAGAGGTGCCTCCTGTCAGCGGAGCTCCTCCTGCTCTTGTTGAAGAGGAAGAGCCTCTTCCTGTTCGCGCCCGACCTGCCTACGACTCTGCTGGCGAGTCATCAGACTCCCCTGTTGAGGATTGGGAGGCTCTGTACAGCAGTGATGACATGGCTCGCAAGCCCCGATTGACACAAGCCAACCCCGCTGCTGCTCAGGACGAGTACGACTCTGAAGAGGAGAAGATGCCTGAGCCTTGGAACGCAATCTGCATTGTTGGTGTTCGCGTCTACTCCAAGGACGAGAACCTCGAGCTTCGCACCGTCATGGAGGGTGGTGAGCTTCTGGAGGGAGGCATGGGTTCTAAGGGAGCCGCTGATCTCGACAACGCTCAATCCAACGCTGGAGGTGGACGCGTCGTAGACAAGAAGTCTTCCGAGATCAAGTCCGAGCAGGACAGCAAGGTTTCGACCCCTACCATTCGCAAGGATGACAGATTCATGGAAGATGATGGCACTTCTAGTGAGAAGTATTCTTCTATTAAGAGTTACTTCCACATTGACTCTGCGTTCACAACCAGGGTCAATTCCCCTGCACCCACTCCATATGAGCACGATCGTCGATTGGAGTTTGGACCTTCCAGCCGATAAGAACAAGTACACGACATTGCATTTTCACATTTTCAGAGAGCGTATTAGATAAGATTCTAGAATGATCACGCCTCGAAGGAACATGATATCGAGATGATGGTTAACGTTTGGGTAATTGATGAGGAAAGGCGTTAGGGATTCTTTTTAGGAACGATGGCATGAACGATTGTTTTAAACAGAGATATCAAGATTGATTTAGAGCAATTAAAGTTGTAAATACAAATTGCATTCTTTGACTTTAATTGCGACATGAGTGATACAAATGGCGGTATTGTTAGTCTTTGTTTATGTTTCCACGTGGTACGGAACTCCACGTTTTTGGTCGCAAACAGACAGAAACCAATTTATAGGCCCCGAGACACCTGAGACAGCCTACAAAAGTGGTTCTAAAACTTGCCGAGACGCCTGAACAAGACCGGCTTTTAGGTGGAACACGGGCTACAAACGAGTCAGACTCTGGGTCTTTGAGGGCGCGTCAGCTGCCTAGAAGGAAGTGGACCCATTGCGATAACGGAAGCTTATCACAACTTCCGTCATCGCTCCCCTAGCTATCGTTATCCCCAAGCTCTCTGTCCCATCTTCACTTTTCTTTCTTCTTTCATTATCCAATCGTTAACCCCTTACATTCTCTATTTTAATCCTCCCATCGTGAAAACTCAATATGTAGCCATGGGTGATTAACTAGCATTTTTTACAAAAAGACCCAATACACTCATCATCATGGCTTCTTCTTCTGCTACCTCTTTGCGACAAGGTTCATCCGGAGCCTCGTCTCGTCATTCGCATCCACAATCTACTTCGCTCTCGAGACACTCAAACTCAAACTCATCACGCTCGCATCAAGATGCCGACCCCAACGCGCCCTCCATCTCTATCGATACTCTCGTCACACATCTCCTCGTCGCTAAACGATCGCTCTCTTCCATGACATTGGTCCTGCGCGCAAACGAAATCGCAAATGCTGCGCGACAGTCCCACGAGGATGTCGCCATACTAGCTGCCCAGGCGGGCTTTCTAAAAGAATCTATACTTGATCAAACCACCATACTTGTTAGAGTAAGGAGGAGTCTGCAAGGGACTTATGATTGGGGGAAGAGAGACTTTAAAAAGCTTATCAGGTCGATGGACTTGGTTGATGGGGGGTTGGAACATACCATGGAGATGCTCCGTGAGACGAGCGTCGAAGGTGTTTTTCGCCCTGAAGGGGAAGACAGACGAAGTCTTCTTGACTTTATCGATGAAGGAGGTGTCCACGGTGTTAGAGAGGCTATGAAGAAAAGTATCCAGGAGCTACAGGTAAGACATATCCCAACAAAGCCATCGTCAATCACCCGCTGACTCAGAGTAGGTCATTCAACAGTCTTTCGACGGCGACTTACTCCGCTTCGACACCGACATTCGCAATCTCAAAAAGATCATCAATGATACCCCGACCTTGTCCCACGATGACACCCACATACCCACCATTGAACTCCTCGAAAGCCTGGTTGACCACTCAGCCAACATGGCACAACTCCTTGTTTCGTTAACGCACCACTTCGACATGTGTGTCACAGCGATC